TGTATCAAATGTTTGAACTTGCTTGTGAGGCCTTGTCATACTTGCTGGTGTGCAGGAGATTTCTCAGGGGGAAACTCATGTTTACAGAGAAGTTTCAGGATTTTACTTAGTTAACAAAACTGCCACTGATAATTTATTCAGACTATCTAAAGCCCAGCAATCCAAAGTGTTCAGGCAGTAAAAAGTGATTACAAATCATCAAGTCCTTGTGTGTAGCTTTTTCAATCAAGCTGATCAGCAGAAATTAGTTTGCAGTTCATCTCTCTTACCAAGTCCTCCTGCGACCACCATCCGTCCACGCAGGAAGGCAGCAGCAAAGTCAGCTCTCTTTGTTTTCATCGCCACGGTCTCCTCTGACTTCAGCCAGGTGCCTGAAAAAAGGGAAAGGATAACAAGCGACAGCTGGGGTGAGCATGTTTGTGTGTGTGCACAAGCTTATAAAGTAGATGAGGTGAAGTCTGGTGGCACCGTAATCCACCTTCAGCGAGATAGGATGCTGCTGAGTTTTCAGAGGATGACCTACCCAAACGGGTCACCCACAAGGCAGCTGCAGCCAGGACAAGGATCGCACACACACAGGCAAGGACAGAAAAAGGTTATAACAAATTCAAAGTACAGGAAGGGAGAAAAGGAGGGTCAAAATAATGTTGGGAGGGAGTCTAGTTGAATGTGTGTTAGGACACTGAAAAAGTCAAAAAGAAAAAACATTTATCATTTGGGCTGACGCTGCCGGAAACATTGTCTCAGATTTTGAGAATACTCCTTTAGGGAACCACATGCAGTAATTCAAAGCTCCAACATCCACTCGACAGCAACCTGTCATATCATCATATTTCACTGCAGAGTTTGTAAGGTATGTTGCCAAGCTTTCAAGTTGCTGGGAGACTTCGTTCTGCTTCAGTCCTCAGTGCATCTAGGAGGCCTTATCGGGCTGTAGCTCAGGAGGTTGGTGGAGCAGGTCATCTGCTGATTGGAACATTGGTGGGTCCATCCCTAGCTCCCTGCCTGTATGCCAAATATCCTTGGGCAAGAAACTAACTCCAAGTTGCTCTCCAATGCTTCCATCGGAGTATGAATGTTAGTCGGAAAGCACTGAAAACAGTGATATGGCATGCAGTGAGTAGAAAAGCGCTATATAAGAATCAGTCCATTTACCATCTACACATATTTATAATTGTGGTTGGTATGGTCTGAATTAGGGATGGGTATCATTTAGGTTTTATCCGATACCGGTGCCAAACCGGTACTTTTGAAACGGTGCCGGTGCTTAAACGGTGCTC